CATAGAGCTTAGGGCATCTGGATGATTTCTCTCTGGGAATGATTCTTTGCTGAATCTCTTCACTGATGGGGGAGGCTTTTATTTTGGATCTGGTGGTTTTTTCCAGATAGGTGGTGGGATCTGTGTTTAGGGGTTTGTATGTGGAGTCTTGGAGTAGGTTGGTTAATTTGGTTTGGTAGTCAGATGTGTTCATAACCACCGTGGCGTTGCCCTTGTCTGCTGGTAGGATTATTATGCTGGTGTCTTCTTTCACTAGATCCAAAATAAAAGCCTCCCCCATCAGTGAAGAGATTCAGCAAAGAATCATTCCCAGAGAGAAATCATCCAGATGCCCTAAGCTCTATGGTCTCCCCAAGATACATAAAGAAGGAACCCCACTTATATATATATATATTCTATCAATCAATTAAGTAAAATTTACCCCTCCAACTACTTGTCATCTCTAATACCAAATATTGTTACAGAAAATATCCTTTTACAAAATCACATATTTCATTTGTTATTAAAACAATCCAAGTGTCAACAACCTTTTTAACCCATTCAGTGGAATTTTAAGCCACATTTTTGAACCTAATTCTAGCTTTCTTTCTATGCCAAACCGGTTTCCATAATAAAGCCTCCGCATCATCAAACCTCAACATTTGAGTAAAGCTATTTCTCAATACATCAAAATAGTCAAAGTTCTCTTCTCTTTCTTCCAATGTTGTCTGAATAGTATAGTCAATTTTATTCCTTATTGTAGTTGCTAGTTGATTGTCCACATTATCACAATTTTCAATAACTTGTACCTGAATGTCAAGCTCTCTTATTTTTGGGAGATCAAATAGCTCAGTTAATGTTATTCTTTGATCATCAATGTTCTCCATAGGTCGTAAATAGGATTGTGTAGAATTAATTTGCTCAGTAGTTTCTACTGTAAGTTCATAATTAAATTGTAAGTGCAGTTCCTCTGTCTCGTTCAGTTGTATATCTTGTTGAGTAGGAACCTCTCTAGGGTTACTCTGTTCTTCCTCCGTTATTCTTTGGTCTATAGTTTGAACCGATGGTTGAAAGTCAATTTGTGGTTCTCTAGTATCATCTTTGATTTTTCTCCAAGATTTGATATAAGCTTTCATATAGTTTGTAGTTTCCAAAATCTTTTCCAATATAAGTTCATAGTCAAGCTATGGATAAGATTCCTCCATTTCAATGGTGAAATAGTCTTTGATCAAGAATAGTCTTTGATCTTTTAGTGGAGGCTATATTTCAAAAAGGTCAACAAATATCCACCTCCAAAATTCTAATAAGCAAATTCACCACAGCTGTTGCAAATCTTTTATCTTTTCCCTTTTGTTGTCATTTGAAGGTCAAATTCATCTTCAAATAGCAAAAGAAAATACAGTTGTAGTGGCACTTTTCGCCACAAGATGTCCTCAGTGGACTGTAAACTCTTTCTTCCAAATAGGTAAAAATTTCTCTCTTTTGGGAAACAGAAAAAGCAAATGCAAGTATCTCCGGTATAATAGATAAAGTAAAAAATATAGCGTTTCTTTTTTATTTTTTTCAGGGCCCCTAGGTATCCAAAGAGAAAAATCAAGTAGTCAATAAAACTTTAACTATTTTAGTTCTTTTAAAACTTTCTTTCCCAAGTAGACAGACGCTGCTCTCTTAAGACAGGGAAGTGATCAAAAACTTTTTACAGGCAAATAGGACAGAGAGAGGGAGGAAAGGTCTCACCCGGATTCACCATGGTGGTTCTTTATGCTTAGATGATTTTCTGACTTCGGCTGGCGCAGCTAAGTGATCGGCCATTTTACTGGCCGATCTTCTCCGTCGGCCCTACGGAGTTAGCTCGGACTGCAGGGGGAGCCGCCGCTCCACCGCAGCCGAGCAAAAGCCTCCTCGATGGTAGTCGCCCCTCCAGGGCGATTTAAGACCCACATAAGGGTCTACCGGCGGAGGGAAAACAGCCGATGAAGAGAGAGGTCTCTTCATCAACTGAACGTGCCGCGATCCGGAAGCGGAAGCAGGGCTACTCATGCTTATCTTGATGGGCTTATGCCAACACGTCACTTCCGCTTAGGGTCATGACCTGGTGACGTAATCATCACATGGGTTTGTTTACTTTGATGACGTCACTGATCAAAAGTGCTGATAATTTTCATTAAAAAAAGGTATACACTATATCTACTTATGTGGTCGGGGGAGGGAGAGAAATCTTTCCCAGTTTCAGCTTCCATGGAGGAAGCTGAGCCAAACATCATAGCAGCAATCATATTTAGCTGGGCAAAACTGCTATTATAGAATAAGCAACACAGTAGTAGGTTTTTGCTACTGGATCTCCTCATCTATCATCTCTGTCTGAAGGAATGTATGTACTAGTATGTCATGTGTTTGTAAGAGAGTAGTGCGCACATATATGTGTAATTACCTATTTGTTTATTTATTTATTTAGCATATTTATAAAGCCTTCCATTTCACAAAACCATGATTCTGGGTAGCACATAATATAACTACTACTAAAACACCATAACAATCTAAAAACAGTCAAACATATAGTAAATAAAATAAAAATGGTAAATAAAATAAACATAAAATATACGAAAGAGAGCCATATTTGGCCCTTCCCTATGTGATTGAAATATCAGGAAAATATCTCAGAAAAGTGACCACATTTTTAAAGTGTTATTTCGCCTTCTTTTCTTCTCCTCCCACTTTCCTTTTGAAATGCTTTTCCTACTAGCAGCTGTTTTAAGCAATTGAAAAGAAAATTTAAGTAAAAATTAGAGAGAAGTTTTTAAATTAAAAACTGGACAACCCTCCTTTTCCCAGCATACAGTACAGGAAATGAGAGAGAGAGAGAGACCAGGCAACCCATTAAGAGAATTTCAGCAAAAGGAAATTGGATTGCCAATGACAAATGCTTTTGAACAAGAATTAGTTTTTTTTTAAAGAGATGCACAGTAAAACTTGGATTATCATTTGTGGTACCCATGGCTTATTTTATTAAATGCAAGGAAGATTAATAATTTAAGAAAGCTTGATTGAGAAGGCTGCATGGAGGAGATAGAGCTGCTTTTACAGCTCTGTGCGGAAAGTCAGGCCACTGCCTGCCAGCAACTGACTACAGATGCCATCCAGCTGCTCACTTTGAGACACTGTGAAGTGCTCCTTCCAGTCACCAAAAATGCCTGCAAAGGGAAGGGGGGGGAAACAAACTCAGTTGCCAGATGTCATGTGTCTGATTAACGAAACACTTAAAAGGACTTTCAGGCATATTTTTTCCTAAAAGCATTTATTAAGGTTACAGAGACGTCAGTACAGCATGGTGGAAATGCTTAGGTCTGGCTTCTCTTCCGTTACGCATATACATTCTAAGCATTTCCCCCCCCCTTTTGGGGGGGGTCATGGTTCACATCTTCCAATCAACTTGAAAGATGTGATTTACTTCCGGTTTCTTTTTCCCGGGCTATCCTTATTCTCCTCCCTTTTTCCCTGTTGCCTGGTTTAACTATAAAAATACCAGACAGTTCTGCATATTGTCAAAGCAAGAATATACAGTATTTGCAGCGTTGACATCCGGGCCCCCTTACAAAAAGGACAGATCCTGTAAAGCAAACCAAAGCATATGTTAAGGGTTATCTTTCGGTTTGTTGGGGTGTTTCACATGAAACCTTTTGACCAATCTATTAGCCTTTACTTCACTGGATTTCACCCAGGTGGCTTCGAATAACGGGTATCCCTTCCATTGTACTAGATACTGCAATTTCCCTCTAAAAATTCTAGAGTCAAGAATACGCTTTACTTCATAGTGGGTCTGTCCCGCAACCACGAGGGGCCCAGGTGCTTTTTTTGGAGGGGGTCTTAACGTGGAACCCCGATATGGTTTCAACAAGCTACAATGGAAAACTGGGTGAATTTTCCCTAAGAGTTTAGGGAGTTTTAGCTCTACTGTGACTGGGTTGATGATCCTTACTATGGGGAAAGGCCCCAAGAACTTTGGTCCCAATTTCTTGCTGGGCAACTTGAGGCGTAGATATT